CATCAGAACCTAAGTTCAAATCCCCAACACACATAAAAAGATGGAGATGGCAATGTAACTGCATCTCAGCACTATGGAAAATGGAGACAGGAGGATCGGTGGGGCTTGCTGGCTTTCCAGCCTCCCCAGGCTCAGTGAGAGAGCCTGTCTCAAGGAAATAAGGCGATAGAGCAGATATCCAATGTCCTCCTTTGGCCTCCATACTCACACACAGACCCATGTACCCCCCCAAAAAAACACACACACAAGAAAGGGAAACAAGTTTTTTCCAAAGTAACTCCTGACGTGAACAGATAAGTGGAAATGCTAATAATATTTAGTGAAAATAATGTTTATAGAAGGTCATAGGATAAAGAAAATATGTAACCTCAGAGGCAGAGTACTGTCTTAAAATTTCTTTCTTAAAACATGAAATAAAAAAAAATGAATATGTTAATCTATCAATTCAAGAAAGTAATTAAAGAACAGTAAATCTAAGAAAATAATAAGGTATAGAAAATGTAGAAGATAAATGTCAGTTTTATGTCTGCTTCAGAATTTTAAAAAGAAAAATAAGAATGAAAGGAACAGGAGTAAACAAGTAATAGGTTTGGTATAGATTTATAGTGAGTGCTCTTGTGGCACTTAATTGGTCCTTTGTGTGTATAGCAGTTATGTTTCTTTCTATACGATAAAGTTTAATTTATAAATTAGGCATAATGAAACATAACTTGGAATAAAAGTTGTAATATATTTAAGAACAGTTGTGTGAATGTGATCTCTATGCAAAGATCTCATTCTTCACTTGTCATGTGAGATGATACAAAGACTACATGATGAGATGAACTGAGGGAAACGACAGAGGCAGGCACTGTGGCAAAGTGTTAGGCTACTCCTGATCTTCTGCTTTGGGTAACCCCTGACCATTAGGCCATGACAATGTCAAGCAGCTAGCAAATGTGTGAGGATATGGTGGGTGTATTAGTCAGGGTTCTCCAAAGAAACAGAACCAGTAGAATGAATATGTATAGAGATTTATCAGCTTAGCTCACAGGACAGGGTCCGAGTAGTCCAACAATGGCTGCACCACACTGGAGAGGCTGAGAATCTGTAGTCCCTCAGTCCACAAGGCTGGATGTCTCAGTAGTCCCAATCTGGTGCTGAAGGTCTGACAAATTCCAAAATATCAGCTAGTCTTCAGTCTACGGCAGCAAGACGAACTCACCAGCAAGAGAGAAGGCAAGCCGCAAAAAGCCTAACGTTCTCCTCTGCCTTGGTCTTTTATACCGGCTGCCATCAGAAGGTAACGCCCACATTTAGGGTGTGTCTTCCGGCTTTAGTTGATCCAATCAAGAAGATCTCTTTCATTTCAGTTAATCTCAGATCAAATCAAGTTGACACCCAGGATTAGCCATCACAGTGGGCAAGGGAATAATTCAGGTCTTGGGCAGAATGGATTAGGATTAGCATGAGATTTCATCATGCTAACACCAGAACGGTGGGTGTGCTGGGTAGCTCTAGTTGTCACCTTGACACATCTAAGTAGATGAAGTCTCTACTGGGGAATTGCCTCCATTGGATTGGGCTGTGGCCATGTCTGTGAGGCATCTTCTTGACTGCTGAGTGACAGTGGAGAGCCCAGGCCACTGTGGGTGGTACCACCCCTGGGCAGGTTGTCCTGTGTTGTATAAGAAAGCAGGCTAGCTGGGCGTGGTGGTGCACGCCTGTAGTCTCAGCACTTGGTAGGCAGAAGCAGGCAGATCTCTGTGAGTTCAAGGCCAGCCTAGTCTACATAGTGAGTCCCAGAACAGCTGGGACTACAGGGAGACCCTGCTTCAAAAATAAAAAATAAAAAAAGAAAAGAAAGAAAAGAAAAAAGAAAAGAAAAGAAAAAGAAAGCAGGCTGAGCATGAGTCAAAAGAGCAAGTCAGTAAGCAGCGTTCCTCCATGGCCTGTGCTTCAGCTCCTGCCTCCAGGTTCCTGCCCTGAGTTCCTATCTTGGGCTCTCTCAGAGATAAGACATGGGAGATATGAGCCAAATAAACCCTTCCCTTCCCAAGTTGGATTTTTTTTTCAGAATTTTCCATCAATATTGTCAGAACATGGTTAACCACAGGGAACTGAAACCAAAGAAAGTACATCATTGGATAAAGTGAGAATGCTGCATTTTAAGAATAAAACCTCATTTTCCCACTTTACCTCATTTTTACATTTCGACTGTAGAAAATTTAGACACCACAGAAAAGCACAAAGGAGAAAACCATCGTTGAAAATCTTACCACAGGGGACTGAAGAGATGGCTCAGCAGTTAAGAGGACTTGCTGCTCTTCCAGAGGACCCAAGTTTGGTTTCCAGCAGTCATGCAGGATGGCTCACAACTGTAACTCCAGCTCCAGGACATGCAACGCCCTCTTCTGGTCTCTGTGACCACCTGCACACACATGACATACACACACAGACACATAAATAAAAATGAAAATAATCCTTTAAAATCTTACAACACACTGATGAAAACTACTTAGCTGTTACCATCATCCTGATTTCCATGGAAATCACACTTTAACTATGGTAATTATAAATTCCAAAACATACTTTAAGGTTTGCTTACCTTAAAACTGTGTCTACGTGGAAACTCATGTATTCTTTTCTTTCTGATTTCCTCTCAGTATTGTGAAATTCATGCATGCTTTTGCATTTGACTATATTTGGTTTACACTGCTCCTAAATATTCCAATGCATAAATTAGGCCATAATTTTAATGATGGAATTTTGGGTTGTTTCCAGTATTTGGCTATCATTAATAGTATTGCTTTGAAATTCTTATACTGGTAACTTTGGTATAAATGTCTAGGAATACTACTGTGAGGTACTCAAATTCTTAGGTTTAAAATGAGGAATAATAGCCAATGAGGAAGAAAATGAATAATAAATTTGAACTTTGTCAATTTACTAATAGATTGTTAAAAGGAACAATAAAATTAGACAGAGTAAATCTGGAGTTTAAAATATTTTTAAAAGTACAAAAGTCTATAGAATTATAAATATAATTCAATAGTTCTTAGTGTTTATTTGGGGGATAAGATCTCCTGAAAGTTAAGATTCTCTTCTCCACTCAACTGAACTTAAGAGTGAAAGAAGCAAACATGTCATTTAAAAAAATTATTTATGTGTATGAGTGCATACATACCTACATGTATGTAAGTGTACCCATGTCCTGCGATGCCCACGGAGGTCAGAAGAGGGGGTCGAATTCCCCTGGAACTGGTGTTATGGAGGTTGCCAGCCACCATGTGGGTGCTGGGAAGCAAACCTAGGTCCTCTGCAAGAGCAGGCACTGCTCTTAACTACTGAGCCATCTCTCCAGTCCCCAATATTGTCATTTTTGTGCAGAGTAAAGTTGTTCACACATCTGATCCTTTTAATCTAGGTAAAAACAAAACCTTTCCATAGACTGAATTGTTATAGCAGAAATGCTTTCTTTGTTGTTATGGGGGGGGTTGAGGAGGTTGTGGGGTTCGTGAGTTATTTTTAGATAGGGTCTCTCTGTAGTTCCAGCTGTCCTGGAACTATGAAGACCAAGGTTGGCCTCCATCTCACAGAGATCCACCTGCCTCTATCTCCCAAGTGCTGGAATTAAACACACTGCCATCATACTCAGCTCATAGACTGAATTAAAAGCACTACTTCTTGCCATGCTATATCCAAATAATAAAATAAATTTAAATTTTGCTTTATATGATTGTTGAAAAACACCTTTTGGGTTCCTTGTATCCACATTTCTGCCTGTTAATAGTGATGAATACAGTCACTCTTAGGCCTACAATTGTGAAATTCAATCTGAATGACTGGGTTGGAGGACCTGGATTCTATGATCTACAGGCCCTAGAATCAGGCCAGCATGTAAAGTAGAATTAATTTTCTAAATGCCAAATAGGTCTTTGAAAATATCATTGTTCCAGGGCTGGAGAGATGGCTCAGTGGCTTACTTGCTGTTCTTTCAGAGGACCCAAGTTCGATTCCCAGGATTCACATGACAAGCAGCACTGGTAACTCGATTTCCAGGGCATCCACACCCTCTTCTGGCTTCTGCCAGCATTACACTCACGTGGTGTATTTACAGCAGGCAAATCACTCAGACACATAAACTTTTTAAAATTATTTAAAAAAAAAAAATTTTTTTTTAATATCATTGCTCCAGACCTCTGAACTGCGAATGTTGGCTTAGTTGTGGAACATACAAAGACTGCCAAACTTCCAAGTCCTTCATCACACAATTCAGCACGTGATCCCTTTGGACCTCGTCTCTCTGAGCTAAGAGGATGTAGAAAGCTAGCATTCGTTAGGTCCACAAATGTTCCTCGACGACCTACTACTTGCACGTGACCTACGCTGCGTTTACCCCCACACGCTGAACGACTATGCGGCTGGCTTCCAGGAAAGTCCTCCCCGACCCCAGGCTCTGGCTCCTCCTGCTACGCAGGCGCAGACCTGGCCCCACCTCCTCCACGTGTTGCGTGCTCGGCGTCGTCCTCGGCGTGTTTCTGAAGCTTCCAGAGGCGTCTACACGGTGGTTGGCGCTCAATGAAGTCAGCTCGGATGTGAGTTTTAAGGAGCCGAAGGGATCAAGGAACGCCAGGTTTGTGGGAGACTGTGGTGGATGCGGTGCGGGGTTGAGGCTGGCAGGGTTTTTATGGGTAAACTGTCGAGGGGAAAGTTCTGGCTTTTTATTGGGGACCTTGGCGGGACTAGAACTCCGTACCCGCGTCGCAGTGTCGAGTGCGGGCCTATGGCGGCCACAGCGTGGGAAGGAACCAGCTGCGCGCTGATTCCCACGCTCGCACCCTCAGCCCCGGAGCTCCTGACGGGAGCCGAGGGGCGCCACAGCGGCGCGGCCCGGACCTGCGGGACAAGGGGCGGCGACTGGGCGGGCGTCCTCGGAAGCTCCAGGCCGGGCCTCCAACCGGAGGCTCGCGTGAGCTTGGAGGGGGGGGGGGGGCTCGTGGACGTGCCGCCCACGCGGGCAGCGGGGGACTCGGAGAGGGAGTGACAGCGGCGCGGGGCCGCAGTGACTGGCGCCGCCTCACTGAGGCGCTTGAGCTCGGAAGATGCCCCTCGGCGCCTGCTGCCCGCGGTCTAGCTGCTTGAGCGGGTGGACGCGGACGCGGACTCGCTCAGGTAGGGAAGGGCGGCGGCGCGGAGGGTCCGGGCCGGGCCCTGGCCACCAGTCCCCGCGCCCGAGTAAGGGCAGAGTGGACGTTGCTCTCAGTGTGCCCTAGTGATCCCTGAGTTCTTGGCTCAGTTCTTGAAATAATAGAGTCATTTGGTGGATGCAGTAAAAGAATTGGTCAGTTATTTGAAATTCAAGCCACTTCCTAGGCCGTCTGTATCCGGTTTCCTTTGTGGTTGAGTTCTTTTGAAATGCTCCCCTTCATGGACTTGGAGGTGGCTGTATGGGAGAGGGAACGTCAGGGATGTTACGAGGAAGGGATGAACGTGGAAGGGTTGAGGTTATTGTTGATGTTGGTAACTCCGAGGATGTGAACATGTAAAAATGGGGTTTGCAAGTACAGTGTCAGGCAGCCCAGCATCGTAGTTCTGTGTATGCTTTGGGGGAAAAGATGAATATAGGACTGCTTCAAGGTATAAAGTAGAAATGCCAGAGATTTATTATTTGCCTTTTACATTTTGCAATTTTCCTTTTGATTACGTGTTAAGGGAATAAAAGCGGTAGAAGTTTTAAGAAAAGTGCCCTGCAGATCACGTTTAAAAAATACTTTCATTTGTTGGCTGTGTTTAAAAGGTTCGGTGTTATTTAAAGAACATCATTGCTATTTGGAAAGGAGAGAACATTTTAACAATTGAGGAACTGGAGGAGTGAAATCCGTATTTAGAGATTTTTGTGTGTGTGTGCTTTGTCTTTGCTCATTTTTTAAAATCCTTTGATCAAAAAACAAAACAAAAAAATGTTATATTTGCTGAGCGTGTTTTAAGTATTTCAAATGTGTGTATGCTCCCTTTGTTAAAAATGTAATAAAAAATGAATCATAGTGCTACACATAACTTTTATTTTTTTAATTAAAAAATTTTAACCCTAGAAGCTTATGACACTTCCAGTTTTAGTATATGTCTTTCCATATTTTACTTCTATAGTTTATTAAAATGTTTTACGCAACTTGTAAAATAATAGCATTTTTCTTCAAATGATCCTTGGGTCTCTGAAATTTTTTATCTCAGCATACCAAGTAATTTACTTGGGCGCTTTTCAAATATAAACTTCTATCCGTACAGTACTACAGGATGACATGGTGCCTGAATGGTTAAAAAAAAAAGAGGGGGGGGGAGGCGGGGAAGCAGTCATTTTCACAATGCTTGAAAACCAGTTGTAGAAAATTGATGATTTTCACTATGCTAATTTAGTATGGTTTTGGTGTGTTCAGATTTCCTCTCTTCTTGACCTCAGAATATCTTCACCATTGTGAAGGATGACTTAGGCATGTGATGTACCCAAATGTGCTCTGATAAGTGTAATGGAATCTGAGCTATAGTCTCTGAATGTGTTGTGTATTTGAGATTAGTTTTGCTCAAAGTCTATAAATACTTTTATCAAAGATGGAAAAATAACCTTATCTTGGTCAAAACTGGACTTCTTGTTCAACAGTTATTTCTAGAATATTAGTATTTTGTTAATTGATGTGTTTAAAAATGCTTTCCTACCGTGGTTTGATTTTGCTTTACAATACTGAGTTTTGTAAAGTTAGATCAGTAGGGTTAGATTGTGAGAAATTGTTAACAGAGATAGATTCTATTTTACAAGGTAGGATTGAGTTATGTAATAAACTAAGCAAAGTTCAATACATTTTAGACTCATGCATGAGTAAACTGTTTTAATGAGCAACTTTGCCTGTGAACATAGTCCCTCTAGTCTGGTGACAATTTTACATCCTTGAAATGTGTGATCTACAGAATGCAAAGCCTTTGTAATCACTGCCCTTTGAAATTAATGCTAGATGCTCCTGAGGGGTCTCTGTAATTGCAACAGCTGAGACTTTGCCTGTATAATGGAACAGATGCAGACAGATCCTATTCCAACATAGTTTTTATTTTGGATAGCTTTGTTTAGTGCCTGTTAGACCCTAGATAAACAAAAATATTTTGATTCTTTAGGTTTTCCTGAGAAGTTTAACCTATTATAGCTCAGATTAAGGATTTTTGGGAAGAGTGATGTAATGGAGACTAGCTTACCAGGACACAAATCTAAAACTGTATACGTAACTCATTCACTCAGTCTTAACATGCCTCACGAGGGAAAATACTTTTCTTTTGCCAATAAAGTTAAAGCTTCATTCTTTTAATAATTTTTTTAGCACTGATGCTTTAATAGATTGAGCATCAAAACTAAAGGGAGTAAGTATATGAGTGAATGACATGTATTATATTAAATCAGTGGGACTACTCTGCTCTTCAAGGCTCTAGGGTGTTTAACATGAACTTCAACTGCTTGTTTGCATAGTGGTAGCTGCAGTGCCTTTGCTCACCTATCATAAGGTTGTAGAACTGTAACAATCCTGTTTTTTTTAAAAAAAAAGTTAACAAGAGAGCAGCAAAGTGGTTTTTAAATCAAAGTTTTACATTGCAAACATCCAGAGAAAACTGTTATGTGTAGATTCAATAAAGAATTGACAGCTGTGTAAAAATAATTTGACAAAGAGTTTGGTGTAATGGTAATAGCCTGAGGAAGGAAAACCCAGCAGAGCCTCTGCCTCTTGAGGTTTTTGGCCTTTGTACCATTTCATTCTCCCAAGAATGAGGTAGGACCCATCTGGGGTGAGGATCTTCAAAGGAGAGGGAGAGAGTGTCTTTTTCACAACTTAGAGCATGTTTGGGGGAAAAGAAATTCTGGTTTCTGTTACTTATATTGGAGAAGAACTGAGTTCTGTGACCTGTTTCCTGGCTGAAGGAATTGGGAGATGGAATTAGGTAGGAGAAGGACCGAAGGAAACGATTTCTGAAGCTCAAGTTCAGAGTACTCAGAATGCCAGAGTGCCATACTTTGGTGTAGTTTTTGAGCTCCAACACTGGAAAGGTCTCTAATTACAAAAATGTGTGGACTGCATTGAGTTTTTTTTTTGTTGTTGTTGTTGTTGTTGTAGTAGTAGTAGTAAAATGTATGGCTTCTCTAAATTACAGTGTGAGACTCTCCCACTTCACTGCTAAAAACAAATTGAACAATAACAGAATAGAAAGAAACTGTTTTTAGAGGAACACATTTCAGTTTTTACAAACTGAAATAGCTAGATAGTATCAGAGCTAGAATTCATAACTAGATTTATGACTGCCAATCTCTTGTTTCTTCATTAGTCCACACTTAATTGCTGTTGTAGGGCAGTGTTCTCTGTAGAACTGGCAAGTAAAACCTTTCTGAAAAAAGACATTTCAGGTTTACTAAACATTTTAATGTAAGATCTTAGGAAGAACAATGAGTAAAAATCCAGATATAGAGGGGATGGAGAGATGGCTCAGCAGTTAAGAACACTGGTTGTTCTTGCAGAGGACCCAGGTTTGAATCCCAGCACCCACATGGCAGCTAACAACCATCTGTAACTCCAGTTCCAGGGGATCCGACAGTGTCTTCTGACCTCCATGGGCATTGCACAACATGGGTGCACTTACCTACATGCAGGCAATACACACACATAAAATAAAAATAATAAAATATTTTTTAAAACTAGATATAGGAAAGATACAGGCAAATATTTCTTCAATAAATATATACAGGATTACCATCATTTTCTACCATTTAATAGAGCAAATCAAGAATAGATGAATATTTCATAAAATTAAGAACAAAATCTTTGCTAGTATATAAAATAGTATATTTGCTAGTATAAAATAGTATAAAAATATTTGCTAGTATATAAAAATAATTGCAAAAGAGAAATCTATAAACTCAGTGAACCTTGTCTATTTTTACTTAGGTTTTTTACATTCTGAGCAGTGTGTTAGTGTGAAGTCTCATTTAGTCAAGGAAAAAGAAGCAACCTAAGTTAATATCAGAAGGACAAATTTTAGATACAACTTTACAAATCAATCATTCTTTCTCTAGAAAATCATTTTCTTTGTCTTTTATGTCCATTCCAATCAGTTATGCCTGGAATCTTTCTGTATATCAGTTTTTTTAATTTGTGAAATGAAGTAACAGTATCTACTGATAAGTTAGTTCATTAGTTGGCTATTGTTGGCTCTTTATATCTTTCAGATCCAATCTAATAAATTAAAGCTAGCATTTAGGTTACCAAATGGATTGTTGTTTGCACATCTGAGGTTTTTAGTCCTAACAGATGGAAGCATATATATGCCTGTTTTCTTTTAATGCTTAAAAAAAAGATGGAGCTTCATAGTTCAAAAAAGTAATATAACTATTTAGAAAAAATGGAGGGATGTTAAGTAATGTATATTATTCTGTAAAGGCTAAAAAGCACTTCTTTGAGCATGGATTAATAATAGCACTTACATAGAAGTTTACTGTATTCGGTCATTCTGCATGTCGCATGTGTTATTTATGTATTAGAAGAAGAAGTGAATCAAACTTTTTGGAACATACTGTTGTTGTTTTCCCATTTCTCACTTGATGAAACCAAGAGACAGACAGATTAGGTAACTGGTCTAATACTGTACAGTTACTAAAAAAAAGACAGGATTTGGAACCAGATGGCTTGGATTCCCCAAACTATTACCCGAAATACTACCTTATCTATGTCAAGAATAAATCAAATATCCTGGTGTGGTGGCACATACTTGTAATACCAGTTCTTGGGAAGCTGAAGCAGGAAGATCAGGAGTTCAAGGCCACCCTCAGCTACATAGTAAGGGGAAGCCCAAACTATATCAGACCTTGTCTTTAAAACTAAGTTAAATAATCTTTTAATACTATAATAATTTTTTACTAGAAACTCATTTGCTTAGTACATAGTTTGCTGACTTCTGTTTTTCATGTCTGTTTTGTTTTCATTTTTGTCTCAAGACAAGGTATCACTTTGTTGCTGAAACTGGCTTCAAACCAGAACAATCCTCCTGATTCATTCACTGAAGTTCTTGAACTACAGATAGAAGGCAGTTAGTCTAAGAGTAGCATCATGGCAGTCAAGAAGAACATTCAAGTTCATTTATTTGCCAACTGTTCTTTAACCAGTATTTCAGTAACTTTTCTGCAGACTTTTCTTTCTTTGTCTTTAGATGGTCTACTTGGTGTCATCCCTATCAGGTTTATTTGCCTTAAGACATTACATTATTAAATTGCTTCTGAAGCGTTAGTGACAGGCTGACCTGAAGCTTGAGATCCTCCTACCTAAGCTCTCGGGTGCTAGGATTATAGGCATGTGCCACCATGTCATGCCTGAAGAATTTTCAAACATTAGGTACAATCCTAAGGGGAATGCAATGTCAGATGTAGGTAAATTATATTAAAATTGATTCTTGATAGAACATTAGTAGAGGCACATTATTGTTGCTGATGTGAAAGATTGGTAAGTGGTGGGCTGTTACCCTTTCAAATTTAAATTCATTTAAAATATTTAAAGTGAAAGTTCTGTCTCTTTCAAAACAATTTGATAAATTTATTAAGGAATTAAAGTTGTGTATTAATGGCTTTATAGGGATTGAGTCCATTACAAAATTAAGTATTTTTAAAAAATATATTTTAGGGGCTAAAGAGATGGCTCAGCAGTTAAGAACACTAGCTGTTCTTGCAGAAGACCCAGGTTCAAATCCCAGCATCCACATGGCAGCTAACAACTGTCCATAACGACAGTTTCAGGGGATCTGATGGCCTCTTCTGCCCTCTGAGGGCATTGCATGACACGGGTGCACTTACATACATGCAGACATACACGCGTACACAGAAAATAAAAGATAAATTTCTGCAGACCAAGAAAAGTGAGAAACTGTCAGTGGCTATATTTCCAAACCAAGATATTTAGAAAACTGTTACTTCATTTTTTGAATTAACACAAAAAGATGGTTGGCTATTTTAAATGAGAGGAACCTCTTGACTGGCAAGAGTAACTACATACCTCATTAAAGACAAGTCTGAGGAATACATTTAAAGTAGAAAACAAGCCAGCTGAGGAAAAATTGCTTCACTGTTGGGTAGACCAAATTAGAAGCTTGTCATTGTGTATTTTTTCTACATTGGCTAAAATGAATTGTTTAGCTTCTTGATAGTGACAAGTTTCGGGGGTAGTTTTGTTGAGAAAAGTGACTGATGTGTTTTCTACAAGGATGAAATAAGTTGCTCTTATTATTGTCCTTTTCTTCCAGGAGTTTTATGTTATTCCCTTGAAAATTTAGTCATTATCTTTAATCATCTGATTATTTCTTTGTATTTCCCTAATGTCTTTTAAAAAGTCATAACCATGACAAATTAGCCACTAATCTTATCCCTGTGCTTTTATAGTAATTCCCAATTCCTGTTTGTGTATAATTTTCATCTGCTGAGCAGAGAATGTACTCGGTTGGGACTATATTGATTAGTTGTACTTTTCTTTTTTTAATATTTTATTATTTTTATTTTATGTGCATGCGTATATTACCTGCATGTAGGTAAGTACACCTATGTCATGCAATGCAGTGCCCACAGAGGACAGAAGAGACTGTCAGATCCCCAGGAACTGGAGTTATGGACAGTTGTTAGCTGCCATGTGAGTGCTGGGATTCGAACCAGGGTCTTCTGCAAGAACAGTCAGTGTTCTTAAGCGCTGCACTCTCTCTCCAGCCCCTGATCAGTTGTACTTTTTCATCACTAGGTAGCACAATAAGCTTTCACAGTTTAGACTCTTTGGGCCATCTCATTTCTAGGACCTTGAACAGGTAGCCAGCTCTGTGTAGGGAGGAGGGCAAGCGAGTTTAGTCTGGCTGAATGCTGATTTTTTTTTCACATCCTCATTTGTTGTTCTCTATGTTCATAACCCCAGTAACTTAGAGGAAGGCATTTGTTGTAATTAATACTTGGGCTTTAAAAATAACACAATGCTGATACATAAAAGCATAGGTAATCCTTGTTGTGGAGTAGGTTGCAAGTTATCCTTTGCTGCTTTACTCCAAGGTAAAGTGGTTCTATTTCAGTCACGCTGTGGGGAATTTGTCTATTTGGAAAGGTTGAAGGAAGTATTGGGAGTAGATGGGTTGAAATTTAGCTGTTTTCTTTCCTTTCTCTAAGACCAGAATGACCTGGAACTTGATATATTTTTTTCAAAGGTTGTAAATTCCAAAGGGAAGGAAACCAAGGGAGTCCTAACCCTTGGGGGCTCCTTAACTTTAATTACTCCCTGATGCAATGCAGCTGGAATGGAAGTACTCTTGGGATAATATCTTGGGATAGCCTTTTAAGCATGTGAATTACTTTTAGCTTTACTCTCATTTGACCATATATAATTAGGTCCTTAGACTTGAAGGAGACCCTACCCCAAAGTTTTAAGAGTAATCTGTCCATATAGTATACATTAAAACAAACTTGGGGAGGGGGCTGGAGAGATGGCTCAGTGGTTAAGAGCACTGGCTGCCCAGGTTTGATTCCCAGCACCCACATGGCAGCTAACAAGCGTCCATATCTCCAATTCCAGAGGGATCCAACTCCCTCTTCTTACCTCTGTGGTCATTGCACGACATGCAGGCAATACACTCATATAAGTAAAATAAAAATATATTTTTTTAAAAGTTGGAACTTTTTAATCACTAAAAAGCATGGAAATGACTGGAGATGAACCATGGATTTGTTGTATTACTAGTCTGTTACAAGGATCTTATTACCCATGTCGTTATTACTGTATACATGAATACCATGAATAACCAGTCTGTGTTAAGATACATAACTGTACTTGTAAAATTGCTGATCTTCACAGTTTTCTACTTCCTTACCTTTGCTTTCTTAGGAGTCCCTGGAACAAGGTAGTTGCTTGAGAGTTGTTTGCATGAATGAATTAACTACGTACTCTTTGCCCTCCTCACCTTTACTTTCATAGTTTATTTAAATTTTTAAAAATTTATTAGTTTATGTGTATGAGTGTGTTGCCGGTAAGTGCACCCATGTCATACAATGCCTACAGAGGCCAGAAGAGGGTGTCAGATCCCCTTCAACAGGAATTAAGGACAGTGGTTAGCCACCATGTTGATTCTGGGAACTGAACCTGGGTCTCTGCAAGAGGAGCCAGTGCTCTTAACCACTGAGCTATTTCTCCAGTCCCTGTAGTTTTGTTTCATTTCATCCTCTGTAGGAACATGGCACCTGAAAATGAGGTTCCCAGCATTGTACATAACAGTGGGTTTCCTTTTCCAATAGTGACACTAAGAGATTACTGATAGAAAAAGAAAAAAGAAAGTTTTTATTTAGCGTAATTTGACGCTTTCCTCAGAATTCTCTCAAACTAGTAGATCTGAAACTTATGTCTCCATCACCTGGAGAAGTTGTCAGCCCACAGATTTCTGAGTCCATCCCCTAGTTTCAGTAGGTCTGGGAAGATTTACATTGTGAACAAGTTTCCGGTGATGCTGATGCTGCCACCTAGGGAGCATTGAGATTAGCTCTCTTTAATTGTCTAAACCTAGAACAGCTGATTTCATTAGTATAAGGTGTTTCATTAATGTGCTTGTTAGGTCCCACTGCTTGCATAACCAGTGACTATTAAATAAAGTTACATATCTTATGAGGTCGCTTTTTTTTTTTTTTTTTTGCAGTGCTAGGAATCTAACCACTGAGCTTTATTCCCAACCTGGTTAGCATTTTTCTCTAACTCTGTGCCTTTGAATGTAAAGGTATCTATTAATATATTTTCTATTATCTTTTTTTGATCTCTTGGGCTGAGACACTTCATTAAAGTCCTTGAGTAAGGGCTGAAGGGATGGCTCAGCAGTTAAGAACACTGGTTGTTCTTAGGAAGACCCAAGTTCAAATCCCAGCACCCATATGGCAGCTAACAACTGTCCGTAACTCCACTTCCGGGGGATCCAACAGCCTCTTCTGTCTTCCATGGGCATTGCACAGCACGGGTACACTTACCTGCATGCAGGCAATACACACATACACATAAAATAAAAGTAATAAATAAAATATTTTTTAAAGTTCTTGAGTAAAGCATATGCAAAATAGTAAATCAGAGTCTAAACTGTATAGTAGTGATTTGTTTCTTTCAAAAATTGATCTGTAATGTGTACTTTAAATATCCTTTGATTTTCTTGACTAGTTTAACAAGAAAAGATTAAAAGGTCTAGAATTTTCAGTAAGTCACACAAGTGTTTCTTTGAAGAATTTTAATGTATGAATTAGTATCCCACACATCTTACTAGTATTAGTAGCATACATTATACTGACATCAAAATATAAGTTAAAATTGTCTAACTTCACAAGAGCATGAAAGCTAATTGTAATATGTCATTAAGATACAAGTTAATTATAGTGTTTTAATGGTGCATTCAACAGTGGGTTTAGAATCTCGATTAAGGCATCAGACTTGCATCTGAAAGTGAACTTGCAATTGGGTAACCTTAGGCAACTTTCTTAAACTTTCTCAGTCTGTTTTGTCAGAAGATAATAACAGAAGGTAAAATAAGATTAAAATATACATACATATACACAATACCTAGCATGTATCTTAACTGTTTAAAAAGATTATTAATTAAATTTCTGGTATAAAAGTAGCAGTATTACTTGGCATTCAGCGTTTTTGTTGTATGTAAAAACACTAGAGCAAGCTCATCTGCTGTCATGATGTGGTTTTCTGTAACTAGATGCTACCTAAGTGGTGAGCAGACAGTGGGGCTCTGACTAGCAGATGAAAGTATACGAAGGGGAGAGAAAAAGTGAGATGAGGGTAATGAAAGAAGAAAAGGAATGGAAGGATTTGAGAGGGACACAGAGAAAATAGAAACAGGCAAAAGAGGTAGAACAGGAGAATAAATGAATGGTGAGGGCAGCAAAGAAAATGGGACCTTTTCACCATAATTTTCCTACATTGTTCTGTCTTTCTTTTTTAATAGGCATTCCTTCATCATCTTTCATGTATGGACTGAGTCCTGATCGTAACTGTATGGTGCTAGATACCATTGAAGAGTGGTAAGTATTTCAAATAATGACTTCACTCCTGTTACAGTACTGCGTTGTTGTTTTTTCGCCCTACTTAGGTAATCGGCTCTATTTTATAAATAAATACTTTAGGGATAAAAGAAGATACACAAAGAATGTATTTTATCACACATTGGAAAACTTTCCAAGTATGTAAATATCCTGGTAGTAAATATTTGTTGGGTATGATATTAATCCATTTTGGCTGCTATAAAATAATACTAAACTAGGTAACTAAGAAAGAACAAAATTCTATTTCTCAGCCAAGGCATTTGTAACTTCAGCACTCAGGAAACTAAAGCAAGTGGTTCTTGAGTTCAAGGCCGATTATCTTTAAAAAAATATTCCTCACAGACTGAGAGCTAGAAAATCTAAGTTTAAAGCACCAGCAGATTCCTTGGCTGATCAGCCTCTACTTTCTCAGAGATGACACATTTTTACTGCATCACCATGTAGAAGAGGCTGCCTATCTCCCTTGCATGCTTGTAATAGGCATTAATCTGGGGCTGGAGAGATGACTCAGTGGTTAAGAACATATACTGCTCTTCTGGAAGATCCAAGTTTGGTCCCTGGCACCCATATCAGGTGACTCATGACTGACCACCTGTAACTACAGTACCAGGGGATCTGACTCTACAGGCGCCTGCACAGACATGCACATATGCACATAACTAAAGAATAGAATCTTAGCCAGGTGTGGTGATGCACAGTTTTAATCCCAGCAATCAGGAGGCAGAGGTATTCATGTTACTTCTGTTAGATTGAGGCCAGCCTGATCTATATAGTGAGTTCCAGGTCAGCTGGGGCTACAGGGAGACCCTGTCTCAAAAAATAAAAAAATTAAAATCTTTATTTAAAGGCACTAATCTCATTTTTTGAAGCCTTTGCCCTCATACCTCAGCATCTCCTAAAGGTTCTGCCTTTATACATTAATTTTACATTAATACCATTACATTGATAGTTAGGCTTTAGCATATGAGTTTGGGGAATATTTTTGGACCATGGAAAATATTTAATTTTGTAAGAAACTAGTGCTGGAGATAGACAAGTGCATAAAGAAAGGTAAGTGGAGATGATTGAGACCTATTTATAATTAAACTTAATAGAGTGTCAGTAATAACTTTCAGAAAGTCAGGCCAGTATGCAAATACTGCTTAGAACATTTATGGTATATAGAGTTAGAATTTGCCTTTTGAAAGGATATATAATAGGAAAAGAATATTATTTTGCAGCAAGATTTGTTTCATTTTTATATTCTAATTTTTAAATTTATTTTCTGTATTGTACAAGTGCACAGCACAGAGAGCTTGGAGATGAGAGGATAATTCTCTGTAGGAGTCTATTCTCTGCTTCCACCATGTGGATTCCAGGAATCAAGCACAGGTCATCAGGCTTGGCAGCAACCTAAGCTTTTCTCTGACACTCATTTTTATTTGATTTGATTTTGTTTTGTTTTTGAGATAAGGTCTTCCTGTAGCTCCAGCTGGCCTGGAAATTACTGTGTAGACCAGTCTGATCTTGATCTCTCAGAGATCCCTACCTACATCTGCCTCCCCAAGAGCTGGGATTAAAGGCATGCACCACCATACCTGGCTTCATTTTTATATTTTTAATCAATAGTAATATTACCAAATTTCACTCATCCCGCATAGTAATCAGATGAATTGAAATTCACTCTCAGAGGATCAGAATTGGCCCATTATTGACATATATGAAAACAAAATATGAGCAAACAATAATATTCAAGACATAATTTTTCTTACATTATTTTGTCATTGGAAATACATAGTGTGTAATTGGCAAGGTAGGAGAGAAATAGAGATGGTAAACTTAGGAAGCTAGCAAACTCTTGAAGACATCAGCTTGCACATAATGTGCAGTTTCTCACATATTCCTATATGTGGAACCATATATAGGGATATGTGAATAAACAGATTTTGAAAATAGTAAAAAGAGGTTGAAGTAAGAACAAACTATTTTACAGTTTCTTGATATTTTAAGTTGTGAGCCTGAGCCTTTAATGGCTAAACCATTTCTCCAGCCCTAATTTACTACACACCTAATTTCTAACTACACACCTTACTGAAGCACAGATGCAAAAAGTAAAGCCTAGGACCAGATCAGCATTTAGTGAATGGCAGAATCAGGACAAGAAACTCATGACTGCTGACTTATACAGAATGCTTTCTTTCAAAATTCTTTGAAAATTTTTCATCCAATTTTGTTAAAGAAATTGGAAAGTGAAAAATTGGATTAAGACACAAGAAAATGAGCTCTGGGGCTAGAGAGATGGCTCAGTACTTACAAGCATTGGGTGCTCTTACAGAGGATCTGGGTACAGTTCCCAGCACCTGCATGGCAGCTAACAACCATCCTTTACTACAGTTCCAGGGGATCCAACCCAACTTCTGGCCTCCATAGGAATTGAACCACGTGTGTGCACTTACATGCAAACTAAACACTCATATGCATAAAATACAAATAAATAAATTAATTAACATTCTTTTTGTTGAATAAGAGTGTCATTAGCAGATGGATCTTACTGATAGCAGTATAGAGGAACACTCTCTGACCCTTCAGAAAAACTTATTTCAAGCTTCCAGTCATTGAAAGACAATGTAGTGTTTAACTTACATTCTTCAGTTCTCTCATCACCAGTTCAACAGACATTTGACAATTTGTACACTTCTATGTTAGCCGAGAGCATTGTATTTTACACACACATATTCTGGTATGGACCTTTTCCTTCATCCTACAGACCATAATCCTTTTGATTGTAACCTTCTAACTAAAGCTCAGTGCAACCTGGCCTACAGGAAATCTTCTAAAAGCCTCTGCTTCTGCCTTAGTGCGTTGGGCTACTATAACAGAATACCACAAGTGGGATAACCGAAACAACTGAACTTTATTTATTAGTTTTTGGGACGTTTAAGAAGTCTAAGATCAAGCTGCTGGAATTGGTATCTGACGAGGGTTGCTTCCTTGTTCACAGACAGATGTCTTTTTCTGTCTTCACATGGTGGAAAGGGTGAGAGAGGTCTCTGGGATTATTTTTATGAGGGCATCACCTATCAAGACCTAATTACCTCCTAAAGGCCCCATTTCTGAATACTCCTATTTTAACCTGATAGAAGTTTTATATTTTACCTCTTATGTTTAGTTCTTTGACCCATTTTGAGTTAATTCTGCACATAAAGTCCATTTCATTCTTTATGCATATGGATAGCTAATTTTCCTGATAGTTTGCTGCAAAACCTGTCCTCTAAAATGAGACTGGCATCCTTGTGGAATGCCATTTTATTCTGCATGTCATGATGGTTTATTTGGCACTTTTAAAAATATTTTATTATTTTTTGTGTATGAATATTGCCTGCATGTATGTAAGTGCACTCATGTCATACAGTGCCCACAGAGGTCAGAAGAGGCTGGCAAATTCCCCTGGAACTGGAGTTATAGGTGGTTGTTAGACTCCATGTGGATGCTGGGAGTCAGGCCTGGGTCCTCTACAAAAGCAGCCAATGCTCTTAACCACTGCACCATCTCCCCAACACCTATTTGGGGGCTTTTTAATTCTCCTTTTTTGATCTAGATGTCTGTGTCTCTGTACCTATACTAGGCTCCAGTGTTTATGAAGTTGCAGATATAAAATAGCTTATGAAAGTGCTTCTTGTGCAAGCCTGATGACCTAAGTTTGATCCCTGGAACTCAACGTGAAAGAAGAGAACTGACTCCTGAAATTTGTCCTCTGACCTCCACATGCACACCATGGTACAAGTACACACACACATACATACATAGAAATAAATTAGAAAATAGAAATAAATAGATTAATTCATTAATTTAAAAAAATACATTAAGCATGGTGAGGTGGCACATGTCTGTAGTCCCACCCAGCACTTGGGAGGCAGAGGCAGGCAGATCTCTGTGAGCTCAAGGCTAGCCTGGTCTACATCGTGAGTTCCAGGTGACCTGGGGCTACAGGGAGACCCTGTTTCAAAAAGACCAAAAGAAAAAAAAACCTTAAAAGTAGCATTACAAGTCAGGGGTCTCAGGGATTCAAAGTCATTCTTGGCTACACATGGAATTGGAGGCCAACCTAGCTACATGAGCTGTCTCAAAACAATTTTTTTTAATTTTTATTTTTTATCTTTTTGAGATAGGGTCTCCCTGTAACCCCAGCTGTCCTGGAACTCACTATGTAGACCAGGCTGGCCTCGAACTCACAAAGATCCACCTGCCTCTGCCTCTCAAATGCTGGGATTAAAGGCGTGTGCCACCATGTCTGGCTTCAAAACAATTTTTTTAAGAGTCAACTCAGTTGTGTAAACAAAAATAGTAATAACTGAAAATTTTTAAAAATCAGTGGTCTTGAGTAACCGAGGTAACTCAGCAGGTAAAGGCACTTGCTGCCAATCCTGAGGACATGAGTTTGAGCCTCAGGACCTACATGGTGGGAAGACAGGAACAACTACTGAAAGTTGCTCTGTGACCTCCACAAACAAACCATGACACATGCAAGTGTGTATACACACACACACACATACACATGCAAATAATATTTTTTATTAAGCTCAGTGTTCTAGCAGATTAGAACCAACTAAAGAATCAGTGAACTGGATGTTATATATGATTTTTAGATGTGAATGGTATGAATGAGGGGCTGAGAAAAATGAAGAGTAGGAAGCAGCAGAGATGGCTCAGCGGTTAAGAACACTGACTGCCCTTGCAGAGGACCCAGGCTCAATTCCCAGCACCCACATGGTGGCTACCAACTGTCTTTAACTCCAGTTCCAGGGGATCCTACACCATCTTCTGACCTCTGTGGGCACTACACCACATGGGTGCACCTACCTAATATTCAGGCAATACACTCATATACATAAAATTTTTTTAAAAGAAAAATGAAGAGTAAAGGTAGAAATTTGAACATAAGTAATCAGAAAATTTTTATTAAGGAAGTACACAGATGTCACAACAATAAAGATAAGGTG